AAAAAAAAAAAAAAGAAAAGAAAGGAAGAAAGAAAAAAAGAAAGAAAAAAAAAGCCGGGGAGGTGGCTGGGCACAGTGGCTCATGCCTGTAATCTCACACTTTGGGAGGCCCAGGTGGGCAGATAACGAAATCAGGAGTTTGAGACCAGCCTGGCCAACACGGTGAAACCCCATCTCTACTAAAAATACAAAAATTAGCCAGGCATGGTGGTGTATGCCTGCCGTCCCAGCTACTCGGGAGGCTGAAGCAGGAGAATCACTTGAACCCAGGAGGCGGAGGTTAAAGTGAGCCAAGATCATGCCACTGCACTCCAGCCTGGGTGACAGAGACAGACTGTCTCCAAAAAAAGGAGAAAGAAAGAGAGACTGAGAACTGTGCCTGGCACATAGTGAGTCCTGTATAAGCGTTATTTCCCGTGACTATATTATGTGCTTGATCTAGACCAGCACTATCTGCAATGAGGGAAGTATTCTGTAAGCTGTGCTGTCCGGCAGGCCAGTGCTAGCCACATGTGGCTACTGAGCACCAGAAATGTGGATAGCGCAAACAAGGAAGTGAATTTCTCATTTTATTAAGTTATAATTAACATAGCATCAGTGGCTAGTGGCTATTCTATTAGATAGTATCGCTCTAGATACTTTCACCCAAACCTCATAATGACCCCAGTGAGGCACGTATTAGCCCTATTTTTAAGATGGGAAAAGGCTAAGTGAGTCATCTAAGGCCATAAAAATCAGGCCCATGACTCTCTGAACCAGCAGGGAAACCAAAAACAATTTGCCTGGCTCCAAAGCCTATAAAGTCATCTCCCCCATTGATTCAGTTTTGCTTTCCATGGTTTCAATTATCCATGGTAAGGTACTATTAAGATATTTTGAGAGAGGACACATTCACCTAATTTTATTACAGTATATTGGCATCATTGTTCTACATTCATATTGTTATTAATCACATATGCATAATTTATAAGTTAAATTTTATCAGAGATAGTATCTATAGGGAAACAAAGCAGTTTCAGGCATCCACTGGGGGAGTTCTTAGAATGTACCCCCCAGGAAAAAGGGGAAATTGGTGTACTATTTTCACCATTTCAAGCTGTTTCTCTCGGTAGAAGGATGGGTTTGAACATAAGGAAAGTCCAGGACTTCCCTTAAGGAAGCGCCAAGCAAGCCTTCCAAAGGAGGGTACTGTTCAACACTGGGCAGAGAAGGCCACTAAGCAGCAGAGAAGACGGGCTAAAAGAGAAGGTAAATGAGACAGAGGACTATCCCTCTCCTCGCGTCCTTGGTCTCCCCAGCTTCCACCGTCTCTGCCATCTACTTGCCTAGTCGATCCATAGCCTTCTCAGTCTCTCTCTCCTGGCTGGAGTGGTCAACTGTAGCAAAGCCAGCCTGCAGGAAGAAGAAACGATTACCAAGGACTTGGGTATCTGGGACATGCCCAGTATTCAGCTATTGCCTCTCAACCTCACCCACTCTTCCATACTCCCCTTGGTGATACGGGGCTGGGACTCTGCCACCCACTTTTCTGCTTTGTCCTATTAAACTGGGCAAGGCTGGAGAGAGAGGGGCCTTGTTCCTTCCTATTCATGTAGGCATCACCTCCTGACACTTCACCGTGGCGGCAGGGATGCCTTCCTACAGCAGCCACAGAATCCAGTACACAGTCCTGAGAACTCTTGCAGAGCCAGCCTCAGCACTGAGCCTTTTCTTTAAAGGTCTGGGTCCCAGGACTCTCCTCCAAGCTCAGAAACCCCTACACCAACTGGGGCAGTACCTCCTCCTTAAAGGCTGGAATTTCAGCTCTGCAGAGCCTTTACCCTAAGCTTTTAAATTTTAATCAACTTCATCTCTTTGTTCCTTCAGCCATAGGGTTGGTAGCTGTTCCCTGAGGTTGCCACCTTCATGTACATGTTTTACCTTTTCAGTTACTTAATAACTTTATAGCAACTCTATCAAATTCTGTTTCCTCACTGACACATTGAGGTGAGACAAGCTTTAGTTCCTCTGCAATGCTGAGTACTGAAGGCAATATTTCTAATCTAGTTGAAGACCTTCCCACACAGCCAACCAAATGCTTCTCTGCTCCCATCACTCAGAAGTTCTTGAAACCCTATGACCTCCAAGACCTCTTTCTAAAGAAAAACGAAATATTCCCGCCTGCATAAAAAGACCTGATTCTGGCTGGGGGCAGTGGCTCACACCTGTAATCCCAGCACATTGGGAGGCCAAGGTGGGTGGATCACGAGGTCACAAGATGGAGACCATCCTGGCCAACACCGTGGCGAAACCCCATCTCTACTAAAATACAAAAAATTAGCCAGGGGTGGTGGTGCACGCCTGTAGTCCCAGCTACTCAGGAGGCTGAGGCAGGGGAATCACTTGAACCAGGGAGGCAGAGGTTGCAGTGAGCCCAGATCGTGCCATTGCACTCCAACCTGGCAACAGAGTGAGACACAATAAAAAAAAAAAAAAAAAAAAGAAAGGAAAGATCTGATCTTGATCACAGCTCTGCCACCCATTCAGAGTGCGGCCTTGAACACATCACTTCAATTATCCTGCCTCAGTTTGCTTCTCCAGGAATTGGGGGTGACTGTTGTAACCCTGCAGGGGGCTGATGAGATACCATTTATGCAAACATGGCATGTAGCAAGAATGTAACATTTCTTGAATTTAAATTCACCTTTTCTGCTACATCTGAACTGCACTTGGCACCTGCTCCAATCAGCATTCATTATCTAGTCATGTCTGGGTTTAATCATTCAATTCCACCCCCTGTAGTCAGTGACAACCGCTGGTCACTGCAGCCCAAGGAGAAGTCAGACCTCTCACCTAAATCACTGCTACGGCCTTCTAACCATCTTTTCATCCAGCCATCTGGCCCAGTGTTACAAAATTAATCACTACTCTGCTCAAAATCTTCAACAGCCCTCCACTGAGGGAGCACAAAATTAGCCATGGCATTCACACGTCCCCTCCTCCCCCACTCCCATCAACCTGTTGAGCATAGTTCTCTGCATGCTCTGGGACCCAACTCCAAGCCATGTGCCCGGCACTTTTTCATCTCCACGCCTCTGCAAACACCACCAGCCTCTCACCTTTATCCCTTCTTACTGTGCCCTGACAAAATTAGTCCCATTCTGTTCCGCACTCCAAAGTAATTTGCTTTATAAGTGTCGCTGCATTTTTCATATCTTACTTTGGCTGAGTACCATCTTTGAGGCATCATTCATCCAGTCAGTATGTCTATCTCCTGTGCCAGGCACTATGCTAGGCTGGACAAACAGCGCTAACAGAGGGTTCCTACTGTCCAGCGGCTCACCACCTAGCCGGGGACTGACTGTAAACAAAGGCAGGTGATGACTGTAATAACGGTCTCGGGAAAACCGGGAGCTGTCTAACGTACATGAAAACAAGTTTCTGGAAACCCTGCGTCAAACAGGGCCTTTTTGGTTTCAGTAAGCAGAAGGGCGAGCGCGCAGATGATATCATCTGGGCTCAGGGTTAGCGGGCATTCCCAACCCACTGACAGAGGTCCACAGGTCCGTCAACTCAAGTCCCTCTCTTCACCGCCCTCACCTGGCCCTCGCGCAGGCTCCTGGCAGCGGGCCCCGGCTCTCGGTCACCAGCGTCCCCTCCCATTTACTAAATCCGCAGCGGCGCCCGGCGGGCGGACAGCTTTCCCTCCCGACCCGGCGCGCCCACCCACGGCCTCTGGGTTCCCAGTCCCGCCACACCGCGGCCCCTAGGCCTGGCCGTTTTCAGCTCCAGCGCGAGCCCAAACGGCGCTCGGTGTCGCGGGGCGGCCCGAGGCCGGCCAGAGGCTCTTTCCCCGCCCGGCGGCCCCCGCCCAGCCCAGCCCCGCGAACCCCGCGAGTCCCAGCCCCAGGCTGCGGCTGGCTGTAGCGCCCGGCCCCCACGCGACGCTCACCTCCGGGCTGGGAGGCGCCTCCCGCGCGCTCTGCAGCGGTGAGCCCCGAGACGGCTCCGCAGCCCCCTGCGCCTGGGCCCCGGCGGCCTGAGGGTCCATGCCCGGCTGCCCACGGGTCGGCGCCCTGGACGCCGTGGGCAACGTGACGTACCGGCCCCGCTGCCGCCCGTTGGATCCGCCGTAGAGGGGCCAATCAGCCTGGGGGGTCCCGGCCGAGAAGGCGGGGCGTGGGGGGAGGGTCACGAGGAAGCGGGGGCGGGGCGGCGCAGGGGGCGGGGCGCGCGGCCTCGTAGAGCCTGCCCCTCCCTCTCCCGCGCGAAATGTGAAACAATCTCCGGGACTGATTTTGGTAACTCCTCCCGGTGCAGATCCTAAGGCTGGACGACCAGCTGGGAGTGAAACGCCAAGCGTGCCCTACGCGGCCACTCGGGGTGTGCTCCAGCTTTAAAACCCCGTGTGGGTAAGACACATCAGCAACCTAGTGACCTCCACCTTGAGCTAATGATCGTCTTTGAAGTTAATCCATTAGAAACCACGATAGATGATTAAAACACAAACCACAATGTGCGGTGGACACAGAATACAGGCCACGACGCTTCTCATAACCCTGAACATTCAGGGCTCCTGTATTTCGACGCTCAACGCCTGATACTCGACAACCTAATTATTTTCCTTTTTGCCTCGAAAAGTGGCTTCTGGGGATAGGCAGGGCCTGAGCTGGGAACTCAAATAGAAAGACAGCCTTCCTTGCCTTCCCCACAGTGCCTAACCTCTAACAAACCAGCTTAAAGTGTGCGCATCACATCAGCACCTGAGAGACCCTCTTCCTTCTTCTCCTCAAAGACTATTGTTTATACAACACAAACGACATCTGGAAAAATTTAGCATAAAACTGACACACAATGTTCAATTTTACTTTTTTTTCCTCTATGCAGATGTTCCTACACAGGAGTCAGTGTCCCAAAGGCTAACTGCCTCTAGGTCAGTAATGTCCAGTAGAACCTTCTTTAATGGTAGAAATAAAAGTTATACTACTGTGCTGTCCAATATGGTAACCATATACCTGCTGAGCACTTGAAATGTGACCAGTGTGAATGATAAACTGAGTAATTTTAATAAATTGCTACATGTGCCTAGGAGCTACTGTTTCTAACAGTGCAACTCTAGGTATACCAGCTAGATGCATTTTCATAACCTGCAATAGTTAGAATCAGATATAGGGATGTGATGCCACCAGGTGGCCACCTTTATAGCCTTGTGTTAAGGAGACTACCACTATCCTCTTTGCTCCCTACTCCATGTACAACACATAAGTCTTTCGTAAAATTAAAGTGCCAAATAAGATTTAGAATGTTAAACTTCCAAAGACTTAAGGGAGAGGAAAAAGAGGATTTTTTTTCTTATTTTAAAACAAATGACAAGAAAACAGTACAAAAGTTCAAAATACAAATGTTCTAAAATAGACTCTAATATTCAAAGAAATTTAATATATAATAAAGGTAGGCTGGGCACATCGGTTCACACCTGTAATCCCAGCACTTTGGGAGGCCGAGGCAGGTGAATCACAAGGTCAGGAGTTCAAGACCAGCCTGGCCAACATGGTGAAACCCCATGTCTACTAAAAATACAAAAAAATTAGCCAGGCATGGTAGTGCGTGCCTGTAATCTCAGCTACTTGGGAGGCTGAGGCAGAGAGCTGCTTGAACCCGGGAGATGGAGGTTGCAGTAAGCTGAGATGGCGCCCCTGCATGCCAGCCTGGGCGACAGAGCGAGACTCTCGTCTCAATAAATAAATAAACACACAAATAAAATAAAGGTAACATTACAAATCAGCAGAGAGAAAAATAACCGACCAAACAGTGTTGGAAAAATTAATTAACTGCTTGGTGAAAAAGACAGTTGTTATCAGCACCAGAAATAACTTTCAAGCATTTTAAAAACAGATTATCACACGTGCGCACACACACACATATGCACATGAGCGCACGCGCACACACACACAATACCCCAGGGCATCAAAAATTTCCACAAAAGACGGACACCTGTAATCCCAGCTACTTGGGAGGCTGAGGGAGGGAGAACTGCTTGAACCCAGAAAGCAGAGGTTGCAGTGAGATGCACTCCACTGGATCCACTGCACTCCAGCCTAGCCCACAGGGCGAGATTCCATCTCAAAAATAGAAAAATGGTCACAAAGAAAGCTGGGAGTAAAATTATTTGCAGCAAATGAGAAACAAGACATTCATATACTTAATATATTTTTTAAAACTCTGGGCCGGGTGAAGTGGCTCTTGCCTGTAATCCCAGCACTTTGGGAGGCCAAGGCAGGTAGATCACAAGGTCAGGTGTTCAAGACCAGCCTGGCCAACATGATGAAACCCCACCTCTACTAAAAATACAAAAAATCAGACAGGTGTGGTGATAGGCACCTGTAATCCCAGTTACTTGGGAGGCTGAGGCAGGTGAATCAATTGAATCCAGGAGGTGGAGGTTGTTGCAGTGAGCTGAGATCATGCCACTGCACTCCAGCCTGGGCGACAGAGCGAGACTCCATCTCCAAAACTCTGGCCAGGCACAATGGCTCATGCCTGTAATACCAGCACTTTGGGAGGTTGAGATAGGATTGCCTGAGTCCAGCAGTTTAAGAGACCAGCCCTGGCAACTCAGCAAGACCTGAGACCCGTCTCTACAAAAAAATGTAAAAGTAACCAGGTATGGTGGTGTGCACCTGCAGTCCCAGCTACTCAGGAGGCTGATGCAGAAGGATCACTTGAGCCCAGAAGTTAAGGCTTTAGTGAGCCATGATCACACCACTGCACTCAAGCCTAGGTAACAGAGCAAGACCTTGTCCAGTTTAAAAAAACAAAACAAAACAAAATTAACTCTTATAAATAGTAAGAAAAAAGTTTTTAAAATAGGCTAGCTGGGCATGGTGGTTCACACCTGTAATCCCAGCACTTTGGGAAGCTGAGGCAGGTGGATCACAAAGTCAGGAGTTCAAGACCACACTGGCCAAGATGGTAAAACCCGGTCTCTACTAAAAATACAAAAATTACCCAAGGGTGGCCCCTGTAATCCCAGCTACTTTGGGAAGCTGAGGCAGCAAACTGCTTGAACCCAGGAGGCAGAGGTTGCAGTGAGCCCAGATTGCACCACTGCACTCCAGCCTGAATGACAGAGACTCCATCTCAAAGAAAAAAAAAAGGATGTGAAAAGGTGAGGAACAAAAAATATACTAACCACTAATATCAAAGAAAAGTAAGTTAAAACAACGATATATCACATGTCATCTATAAAATGGTAAAAATAAAAACTATAATTACAACAGTACATACAGGTTATGGTATTAATACTTTCATCTATTGCTTAAAAGAAGGAGCAAATTGGCAATATACATCAATATTCTCTAAAAGTGATATCCTTTAATCCAGTAATTCCACTGTCAAATGTCAATCTCCTAAGAAAATAGCCAGGGATATGAATGAAGATTGGCAAGAATCTTCATCAACAGCATAGTTATAATTTTTTTTTTTAATTAGAAATGACAAGAGTCCAACCAGAGGATTAGCAAAATAAATTATGGCTCATTTTTACAATGTAATGTTATGAATTCAATAAATGTTTTTAAGGCTCTTTAATGACACAGAAAAGCAACACTAAGTGAAATGTAACATTAAGCTACACTGAATGCTTCTCTCAGTGATACCATGTTAAGCTAAAGGGTACAATTCAAACAGTTGCCTCCTGCTCCTGGAATGCTCTTTTCTTTTTTTGCTCCAAGTCTGCCTTCCACTCTTCACTAAGGCTTCTCTGCACTTGAATCGATTCCTTACCCCCTTCACTTCTTTTGTTGCTGGGTCGCCTCAATGCAAACACTTTTCTGATCAAAGTCCCAGAAGACAGAAGACACTTTTATATGGTTTTAACCTTCTTGACGGACTTTTCGCAATATCCAGCCCTTCCTTTTCTGCTGATCCAATCAGCTTTCTTAGGACATTCAGCTGGTTTTGCAACCCCTACTTCTCTCCCCAAAGGCTTCCCTTCTTTCCTGCACATGTGAGCACTCATATTTCTTGAATGAATGAATGGGTAAATAAGTATAAATCCAATTTTGATAAAGAAAATCAAATTACTGAGTTTAACTCAAGACAGAGTACAGGGTGCTTTTGCTTTTATCACCACACTATTCTATTTCCTCCATTATCTTCCAGAACAAATGCACACCATGTATCTTTTATAATGAGAATAAACCAACAAAACTGTAATTTATCCTTCATTTCTTTGGTTGTTGTGGTTTTCTTTTTTCTTTTTTTTTTTGAGGAGTTTTGCTCTTGCTGCCCAGGCTGGAGTGCACTGGAGTGATCTCAGCTCGCTGCAACCTCCGCCTCCCAGGTACAAGCAATTCTCCTACCTCAGCCTCCCAATTAGCTGGGATTACAGGCACTCACCACCATGCCCAGCTAATTTTCATATTTTTAGCAGAGACTGGGTTTCACCATTTTGGCCAGGCTGGTCTCAAACTCCTACCCTCAAGTGATACACCCACCCTGGCCTCCTAGAGTGCTGGAATTATAGGCATGAGCCACTGCGCCTGGACACTTTCATTTTAACTGGCTCCTAGATTGAGATTAGAGAAACTTATGATTGACCTGGGATAATAAATAAAACCCAGTCATATGCTTTCATGTATTTTGGAAAACGTTTAGGACCTGTGGTAGATCTGGCCTCAACATTAAATCAGCAGTTCTCTTTCCTGGAATTAGAGATTACCACATCAAGCTGAGCATGGTGTCATGCACCTATAATCCCAGCTACTCAGGAGTCTGAGGCGAGAGGGTTACTTGAGTTCAGGAGTTCAAGATCAGCCAGGGCGAAAGAACAAGACTCCGTCTCAATCACAATTTTTTTTTTTTTAATTTTTAAAAAAGACTAACAAGCTAACATAAAATTAAAGTGTATCTCGAAACCAGACAGCCATCTTGTCTGCCATCACTGAGCAAATTACAGATGGACTCATAATACAAATTTGCCCACAGGGCTTGCTTGCAATACTATTTCACAAAGCTGGTTGTATTCTTCCTCTTCACAAATGGCCAGTCTGATGCATAGCATGTTTAGCTACAAATGCCTCTGCTGACTCTCCCTGCAACATTTTCATCGCTCGCCAGTAGATCTGTCCACAGTTCTCAGGTCTACCAAGGGGGTGGTTCAATTCTTCTTTGATATAATCCATCCAAAGATCTTTTTAAAAAAAGAAAAAAAAACCACACACAATTATATAACTGACAGAGTATTATTAGGTAACCTTATTAAATATCAATTCAAATCAAGATTTCTAAGAAATTTAACTTCTCACTGTTATTTCCCTAGAATGCTTTGTTTAACAATACTTCTCTTAGCTCCTTTAAACGTTAAAGCATAGTGGCAGGTTTTGGGGTTGTATGTTTTTTGTTTTTGTTTTTTGAGACAGGGTCTCACTGTGTTGCCCAGGTTGGAGTGTGGTGGCGGGACCACAACTTACTACAGCCTCAACCTCCTGGGTTCAAGCAACCCTCCTGCCTCAGCCTCCAGGGCAGCTGGGACCACAGTACACCACCATGTTTGGCTTTTTATTTTTTGTAGAAACAGGGTCTCACCATATTGCCCAGGCTAGTCTTTAACTCCTGGGATCAAGCAATCCTGCTTTGACTTTCCAAAGTGCTGGGATTACAAGTGTGAGTCACCGTGCCTTACCAGTTTTTTTCTTTTTCAGTAGAAAACCTTCACATCAATCACAAAAGTCTGTATTAATCAATGAACTCAAAAATACTAAACGTTTTGGCTAGGCACAGTGGCTCATACCTGCAATTCCAGCACTTTGGGAGGCTGAGGCGGGCAGATCATCTGAGGTCAGGAGTCCAAGACCAGCCTAGCCAGAATAATGAAACCCCATCTCTACTGAAAATACAAAAATTAGCCAGGCATGGTGGTATGCATGCCTGTAATCCCAGCTACTTGAGAGGCTGGGGCACAAGAATCACTTGAACCTAGGAAACTGACATTGCAGTGAGCCAAGATTGTGCCACTGCACTCCAGCCTGGGTGACAGAGTAAGACTCTGTCTCAAAACAAAATAAAAATAATCAACGTTTATGAGTTCATAAATAAAATCCACAGATTTTACATGACATACCTATACCCAGAAGTGTAAGTCCTACAAATGAGGGCAATGTGGAGATAGCCAACAACAGACGTCAATTAGCATCTCACGTTTACCCCTCTGATGTAAGTCCAAATACTTTTGAAGAGAACAAAACCATGAGAATCATTCTCTAACGCTTTCTCAATTAGCCTCTCATATTTACCCCTTTGATATAACATTAAATACATTTTTGGTTTTTTTTTCTTATTCTAAATACATTTTTTTGTTTGTGTGTGTGTGTGTGTGTGTGTGTGTGTGT